CCCCAAAACCCCAAAACCCCAAAACCCCAAAACCCCAGTACACAACTTAAAAATTGAATGTTTTAGAGGTTATAATCCAGATGGTCTGAGGTACCTCTCTAACTTCTTAGGCCGTCCTTTTGCTTTAGATGGATCAAATAGTTTCTTCTTTTCAGTAGAGTTATACTCTGTCCTTTTATACCCTTGTTTACAGCTTAAGTTCTATAATAAGTCAGTAACGGAAAAAGAGAAGAGGCTTACATATTTCGACTTGAATAACGAAGCATGCTCCTTCGGCTTGATCGATAAAGGCTTCATTGCCTCTGTGTTATTACTTTCCTTACTTATTATTAATATTCTCTGTAGATGAATTGATATTGTAGTGAGATGATAAATACACCTGCACCTTCTGGACAGTATCAGCTTTTCACCCAATCTTCCGTATTCCAGTGGGAATTCTGAGCTCCATATCTGATTCTTTTTCAGAATTAGATTGAGCTTTATGAGTCAAATGGAGATTTAGACTATTTTGTACAGCAATTCATTTTTCAAGAAGGTCTCCAGTGTTATTTTAATCCTTTATCTTTCTGTTTGGATTGAGAATCTCTATAAATTAGTTCTTTAACAGTACCTGAACTTTTTCTTAAGTAGGTCTTGATCTTTATTCTCATCTATAGAGTTGAGGAACCTCAACTTCCGACGCTCATAAGAACCATACTCTGTATTTGAGTTATCGATGGAGCTGAGAATTGCATCACGGACTTTTTGGACATCAGCATTGTTTTTAATCTGCCTTATTGCTTTACCACTGGGTTTCTCTTTAGTAATACTCCCTCTGGCTCTGTTAGAGGACTTATACGCTCCTTCGAAGTCATCGCACTCCTGACCTAAAGGACCAGGGATACCTTTGTAATGATATTTCCTCATGGAGGGCTTAATATTTCGGAAGGGAGTATTTGGAAGCCCACATTGAGATGATTTCAGATTCCCTGTGTTACCTTTCTCAGTCGATGAAATCGACTGAGAAGACTTACACTTATGGAATATCATCTCCTTTCCAGCTATCATTGTATGACTTCTGTCACGAACTAAAGGAGAGTAGAAGAAATCAGTCTTTGTCTGATTCCCCAAATCTATCTGCAAGTTCTTCTCATTCAATTTTAGCGATGAAATTGAGTTGTTATTGCATGAGGAGTTCAACTTAAAGTTTCCTGACTCCGGAGTAGGGTTGATCTTCAGATTACCTTCTGAAGATATTGCCTGTTTCTTAGAAAAGTATCTCTTTGTGTGACTTGTTTCAGCACTTTTTGTAGAGTCAGTTAGATTATTTATCGATACAATTTTTACAGCGTTGAGAGTCGTTGAAGTTGAATTTTTGACTTTATCTTTAAACCGATTGAAAATCTTGCTTGATGGTTTGTTTACAACCACTTTTAGATCGCAAGATTTTTGCATACTGCTCAAGGTTCTTTTAGTCATTTGAAAGCTTTCATTAACTGAATTAGCACGATTAGATAATGTGCTTTCACCAGGCATTCACTCATCAACCCCATCATCTGGATTATCATCAAGGTTGAAGTTTGGCTTGAACAATGCCTTATGAGTGTCAGGTTTCTTAGATAAAAGCTTAGGTGTCTTATTTGCAAGGGTCTCAAGATTAGACATAAAGCTTCCTTTCTTTCTCTTTTCTGATTCTGTACGAACTCCTTTTCCCCCAAAGTTATGCAGAAGATCAAGTCTAATCCCTCTCTGGCTATTCAAAGGTTTATGGGCAGCCTCAGAGCTTTTAGAGCCTCTTCCAATTACATCTTTCCCACTCTTGATTTGATTGTAAGAAATTTGTACAACAGGAGTAATGATTCCTTGTATTCCTCCTTTCGATATCGATTGGATTGATTTTTGGTCTTCAATCTTAGAGAGGGCTTTGGCTTTAGAAAACCTATTATTTCAAAACCCTGTGCTTCTTAAGAATGATTGATGAGGACTTTTCAATACTCTCACCTCTATGTGAGCTAATCTTATCAGACCCGACTTCGAATTTCTTCGACCTGACCATACTTTGGCTATATTTCTTTTTGTTCCTGGCATCGTTTAAACTTTGGAGCTTTAATTTAAACACACTACTGATCCTTGTTCTTGAGTGAGAGGAGGTAATATTGGAGGAGTTAGTATTATTCGAACTAAATTTCTCCAAGGATCGGCCTATTCTCTTCCTTTCAGTTCTTTTCTTATTCAGGTTTAGGTAATCAGGGATGCTCTCTGACATTAAAACTAAATTATTACATTTCAATAGAAAATTTGCTAATTGGGGTTTTGGGGTTTTGGGGTTTTGGGG